CTGCTTTAGGGCCAGTGTGATAACGTCCTTTGTCTCCCAGAGCCCACATGGATGGAGTGAATACCTCCCTCCACCATGGTCATAAAAAAACTTATGCAGGCTTAGGTTGGACAGATGCCAACATATACCACCAACAGGATGCCAGCCAAATAGTCAGATATTTTATTTCACTGAAAAGGAGTTCAGTCCTCTTTGTACATTGTTAGGACTGAAACTCTTTAGTGGATTGTGAAATGATTGATTAATCACAGATTTTTAAAAAGAAGAGAATGTTAAATTGAGTTTAATCAGTGCTGTCTTCTGCAGAAAATGTTCAGTGCTGATGACCTTTATTGTAAGCTGTCCCGGTACAAATTTTTGCTTCAGAAAGAGTGTGTTTAAGGTGATAATGTTCAAAGCATACATGATTTTTCTTTTGTCCTTCAGTCTAGAGAGCCAATTAATTTCATTAACTATCCTCCATAACCACCTGGATTGAGATGACATTATGATCAGTGATGTCTATGATCAATTATTTTCAAAGCAAATGTTAATGGGCCAAAATATTAAATTCTCTGACTTTTTAATTCATTGTTCTTGTTGCATTCATCACCCTGAATGCAACCAAAGTTCTTCTATTAATATAAATATCTATAATAGTTTCCTGATAATTATTCCTCTATATTTGGTAGTCTCCACTTAAAATACATAGCCTTCTAAGTGCTATATTGTCTATCACTTTATATGGGGATTATCCAAAAAAAATTCTGTGTGTATAGCCTCAATCCTATTCAGAACTGGGAAAGTTACTTTCCTCCCATTACTCAACATGCAGACTGAAACCTATTACCATTACTCATCCTCCCCCACTTTTTAAAAAGTAACTTTCTACATTACCTTTTATTTTTCATTATGGGGTAACTTATAATTGATAACAAAATGGCATAAAATGGGAAAATGCCTATCCAAATCTCTCTAAAATATCCTTTAAAATCAGCTTTGAAAAGTGTTTAGAAAATGTTATCATAGCAATACAATGACATTATTCCCCCCATTACTTTACTTTGAGAGGCAATTTCAGAGTTTTTGCCTCTGTTGTGTGGTCACTTCATTTGTCAGTCGTTACGTTCAGATCTTTTCATCACTCAAGTCTTATGGGGGATATTTATGTCAACCACCCAGGATTAGGCAACTGTCACCAGAGGACTTTTTTGTTGGGCACCCCTAGACTGTGGAATGACCTGTTAGGGGAGATTCAACAACTAAACATGCCATCTGAATTTCAAAGTGTATCAAAGACCTATGTCTTCCAGCAGGCCTACCCAGTCAGTTATAAACTATGAATTTTAAACTGGAATATGATGGATGATTAATGTGACCTGTGTTTTTGTGTTTTAATCTATGTGTTTAAATGTTTTTATGTGTTTTAATTGATGTTGTAGCCCATCTTGAGCCTTGGGGAGAAGTGAATAAGAAATAAAATGTATCATCATCATCATCATCATTTCTGTCCAGACATTATGGCTCAATAGGAAACCTCAGAATATGTAGGGGATACAGAGCTGTGTAATGCAGTCCTATTCCAGTGTCCCCATGCATGGTATTTCTAGCATTCCTGACCCTCCTTAACTTCATCTGGAACATTTGACAGGTGTCTATGAGTGTGTGGTTGAACATATATAGAAGCTTCCATGCAATAAGGAATAAGTGGGATTCCAAACTGCATGGAGTCTTCAACTCACAGTCAAGAAAATACAATGTACAAGAAAATACATTGAAAATACAAGAAAATACAATGTAAATACGCCTTCATACCTTCCAGAGCAATGATGGAAGTTCAGGGACATGGAGGTTGTGGTCAGTACAAGGAGACTTCTTCCTCACCAGCTTTACTACTACCTATCATGCAGGGCCCATATCTAAGTAAGGGCTGAACATTGATGTTTGCTCCCAGCGGTGTAGCTACTGGAGGAGGGGGGGGGGAATGAAGGATTTACCGTCTCCATAAGAATTTCCCCTGCCCAAGAAACTTTCCTTCAGTCCCCAAATTTAAAGCAATTTAAAGCAATGCAGAGAACAAATCAACAAACTCAAAACTATTAACATGCAGAAGTTGATATTTCCACATTCTCTTGGTCCCATCACCTGCCCCTTTTCTTTGGATGTCTAAACTAAATTTCTAAAAGCTCAACTTCAGATTTAAATTACTGCAATGCTATAATTTTGGGACTGAAGGAAAATTTTATGGGAGGAGGCAGAATTTTTATTTGAGGGCAAACCTGTCATTCTGAACATTCCCTGTAGTTATGCCCCAACTGACTCCAAATGCAAACAGGCAATTCAGGACAGATGTGTCTCTATCACTAGAGGAGAAAAACTCAATAGTTATCAGAATTATTAAATAAGATGGCTTCAAAGTGAAGGAGGGCCTTGCTTTTGGGAGGGGAGCATGGCAAGTGTTTGCTACCTTCCTCAAAGGCAAAGGGATGATTCCATACTGGGGGAGCACTTATCATGCATTGCAATCAAAAATGTGAAACAATGACATGATGGTTCACACTTGGGTGTGGTATAAATCAAAATACAATGCACTCAGGAACAAGGGAGTTGTGTTGTTTCTCATTATCATCGTCATAGGCAATAACCAGTAGGATGCTTGTTTCCACAG